AGGCAAGGAAGGCTCAACATCGGCGACGGGTGGCACTTTAGATCGAATGGCCTCTACTCTCCGCCGCGCGGCCAATCTTTCCGCGTTTTTCTTTTTGGCGAGTTGTGTAAGTGACAACCCGGCCATGTCTTCATCATATGTACCGGGAAGGTCTTCTAAACCAGTAAAGATGTCGTCAAAGGGAAGGTTCCCTCGGCCTGAAGTGGACAGAGGATTGGCTGAATTGAGGCCGGCTTCCTCAAAGGCCAACTTCAAAGCCTCGTCTACTTCGGCTTCGGACTGGTCTAACTCTTCAGCGACCTCAGCTACTTCCGCCCGCTCCGAGTCGGATCCGTCGAAACCAACTTGTCGCAAGTTTTTAAAGTTGGTTAAAACAAGAGCCGTTAGAGACTCTTCACCCGTCGGAATTAGGACGTTTTTTGCCGCCAAAAACGTCGTATACGTCGGCTCGTATCGAAGAAGAATGTGGGCAGCCCTTCCTTGTTTCTAAAGACTTGGACGACCGAAGTATTTGAGTGCGACTTTAATTTCCATAAGAACGTCGTTGTCGGTTGAAATCAAAACTTTCTTCAAATCGTTTCCTGCACAAGCAAAATCATGAGACCACAAAAATAATGCCTTGAAAATATAAGGAAAATAAACTCAAGGAGCTATACGGCCACCTGGTTCGCCCCTTCGTCGAGGAATAGGATCTAGGCGGTCCTCGCCTTCGCCGAATTCCCAGTTGCCTCGGACAACGACCATGACATCATCGACTCGCTTGCCAGAGCTGGAAAGCATAGTCACTAATTAATGGTCGGTGTCCTTGGCCCTAAGGAAGTAGTGTCCATGCCGGCCAGAAGACTTGGCCAAGGCATAACAATGCCAAATAGCAGGTATGTCGAGATTAATCCTAAGGTAACGGTTTAACTCTATTATCCCCATTACGATTCTAAAAAAGTTGGCATTGGGTTGGGAAGGGATTAGACCCCAATGGCGAAGGACAGCCCTAAGGAATGGGTGAAGGAGAAAACAGACTCTGCCCTCTGCGATTGATAAGAGAGGGAAGACGATTGTGTTTTCATCAGCCCTCTCCATATCAAAGGTGCCATCAGTCACAAGTGACAGACAGACGTCATCAGGAATAGAAAAATGGCGTCGAAAGCCAGAGACTCGATCCGTGGAGGGGAGGTCTTTCAAATGCTTTTCCATTGTCGTCAGCCTATAGGAGTATGCTAAACTAAAAACAAACCAGGAAAAGGGATTCAAAGCAAAGAGGAAGAAAACTTACAAGAGACTGAGAGGACAACGAAGGATAAAGGGAAGTTATAGAGGTGAGTCGGAAGGCAGTCCAAAAACTTCAAGCATCCAAAAATGTGTATGTATTCGAAAAGATGACCAAATTTTAAATCACAATAAATAGAAGCATACGAAGGGGCGGGAAGTTCAAATGACGATCGAAAGGCGTGTGCTCTGACATCCGCGTTGGAATGAGGTTAGCCGCCGAATTTCGGCTCTGACTTTTCGAGTTCGAAACCAAACACACCAGCTAACTGTCGTTAGTGGAGTGTTTGGGGGGCAATTGTGGGGGCCGAATATCGGGGCACATAAAGAGGCCGAATAGTTGTTCCCGGAGAGCCGAGATGCGTATATCGCATTCGGCCCCATCTTATATATATAAATCCGACAGTACCCTATTCGGCCAAATAACCAGTCGAGTCAGGGGCCGAGTGAAAAGCGGTATACAACAAAAAGAGCCAAGTAAATAGTTATACGACGAATTGAAGATGGGCCTAGCCCTGAAGCCTAAGAAAGAAAAAGATATAAATAGAAGAACATCATCCAGAGAGAGGTATGTGGGAATTAGTATGCTTAACTTTAGATACAAACAATTTAAGAGAGTATACACTGACTTATCCGTCAGAGTGCTAATTTCGGCACCCCCAACCGGAGTGTTCATTCTTTTTTAGGTTACTAGCTGAGGATCACGAGCGTCCCCCTGGATCCAGAGAGTATTTCCAAACCACTTCACCACAATGATACATAACATCACTCATAGTCATTCCCAGGACTTTAATTCAACCTTACCAAGTCAATCATTGACATTTTGGTTCTGATTAAAAGAATTGAGCATAAAAAGCATTTTTTTTTTATCAGCTAAAAAAAACTTTATTAATAGCATCAAACATATAAACATATGGATAACATTAATAAAACGAAGGCAAAGAGCAGAAAGCATCACAGAGCTTCCCTTCATTCATCCTAACTAGGTTGGCACCAAGAGAAACACCCTATCATATGTTAGCTCAAACCAAAGGGTTGGTGAGAAACCAAGCCCAAAAAACTAAAAAACACCAGTAAACCACCATCAGCAGCAGCCCAAAAAAAACATTTTCCTTTGTTGCCAAGTTTGTATAGACTAAGGATTTAAACTAATCTATCAAGTAAAAGCTGCCTCAGTTAAAGAATTTAAAAATAACTTTAGTTTTAAAAAGTCAAGTAATGTTTTCCACAGTTGACTAACTCTTATCCTCACTAAACAAGGTGAAATCCGGGGGCATTGGAAGAGAGTTCTGCCCGTGACTTTGGTACATAAGCACTCTTAGCAACTATGGCTGCACATTTGGCACTGGTTGTGCCAAATGCATGGCCAATTGCCCCACTGTTAGGAGAAAACACCTTGAACTAGTCTCGCTAGCTCACCCAACCTCCTGTGTGTGGATTCAAAAGTTGGGTTAATGAACCACTCTACCTACATTTCCTTGCACAAACCCAAAAGTTAGATTTCTTAGGATATAGACAGACTCAACTACAATTACTTTTCTCTAGTAAACACATGTCTCGCCTGAGTTCCCTGGCCCATTAGCGCCATTATAGGTTCATAAAAGGATTGAACTGATGGCGAAGGCCTAAAACTCTTACTACCTTGCTTACTACTCAGACTAGGCTGATTATTTCATGCCATTCTTTGCGCGGAAAAGGTGATTGCTACCTTCCACTTGCCTAGCAACAGGTGGTTGATAAACACTCATTCTATCCAAAACAGATATTGCCCACATTTCTATAGATCCCACTAGTTGTTAGCATAACATTTCAAGCACACCTCCCCAAGGGTTCAAGGTTTGTGAAGTTGTGGTGATGATTATTGGTAGTGGTTCTAACCAGATTCGACTTGTCTATCCAATACTGTGGACTTGATCGTGTGCTTAGGATACACCCTAACTCTAAGATAAGCCATTGTGTTGGCCTTCAACAATATTCAGGCCAATTCTTACTCTGGCTTCCCAACAGGATGATTTTCTCCATTTGAAGGTTGGCCACCAAGAAGATGAAGCCCTATAGACTTGCCTCTGGCAAATTTAAATTAGTTTCCTCTTCAGCACCCTTCTTAGGATGTTCATTCTCCCCATGATGTTTTGTTCTCATCATTATTTTGGTTAACACACAAAACAAGGCCCATCGAGCTTGTCAAAAAATATGTGTTGGCTTTTTGGTAATTTGGAGGTTAAAAATATAATTTTAAGTGTGCCAGTAAGGATTGAGTAATCATTTCATATTCAAAATAAGTAAAAATACTTATCGAACGATTGTGCAAAATGTTCTTTTGCCTCAATGAATGAAACTTTATTGCTTGTCTTAAAGTGAGAAACAATTAATTGTGAGAGTACTTAATGTATAGCGAATGTAGTAGAATGGAAAGGAGAGACTGAGATAAAAACTAATGCAATCAATTAATTAAATAAGCCAATTACATAATTGTTAGCTTATCACTTCTCTTGTTTCGAAGGTGAACTATCGAAACCAAGTTACAATAGTGTAAAACTATGATTATTCCTAATGCAAGTAAATGAACAAACTGCAAGTAAAAGTAAGAAAATTGCAAAAGTTGTTGATTTGTTCGGAGTCCTTTCTCATTCCATCCTTCAACTATTTAGAGGCTTCCTCATACTTTCACTACAACAAATTACACTTTCGGCGACTAAATGTTTAGTCGCCAAAAGTCATTTCTTTAGTCGCCAAAGATTTTTACCGACTAAAATTCTTGGCCGCCCGCTTGGTTGTTGACTAATTGTTGGCAAAAGAATTGGCGACTAATTTTTTTTTAGTCGCCAAAAGTCGCCTATTGGCTACTAAAAAATTAGTCGCCCAAAAGAAAATATTTAGTCGCCAAAAAAAAATATTTTTCATCTTCAGTTTTTTAGCTACTAATTTTTTAGTCACTAAAAACGTGACACTCCTATTTGGTTACCAATTTTTTAGTCGCTAAGAACATGACACTCTTGTTTGGCTACCAACTTTTTAGTCGCTAAAATCATAGTGCTCCTTTTTAACTACTAATTTTTTAGTCGCTAAAAATTTTTATTTATTTTTTGGCTACTAACTGTTTAGTCGCCAATAAGTTCCTTTTTTATTTTTTGGCTACTAAATGTTTAGTCACCAAAAGCTTTATTTATTACTCCTTCCGTCCCAAAATATTAGCCCCTTATTCCATTTTTCATTGTCCCAAAATATTAGTCCCTCTTCAAAAATCAAGTACAAAAATAATATAAATTTCCTATTATGCCCTTCTTTTAAATTAATAAACAATATAAAAAATATAATTATGACATTGATATTTTCAAAAAATATATTATCAAAAGGATAATTTTGGAAAATCAACTTTTTTAAAGTGCAATAATTGTACTACCAAAAAAAGTTGAATTCCCCAAAATAGACCATTATTTTGGGACGGAGGGAGTAAATTTTTTTTTTTTAAATGCACAAATTGAATATTTTCATTCATTTCTAAATTATATGCATTCCATTATCAATGCAACCTGTAACTTGTACATATACAGAATAATACATCTATTAATTATAATCTAAATCCATTATTAATAATACCCATTTCATTATCAACTATCCAAAAACAAATCCATACCAACCAAATATAATCCATCTAAATTAAATATTACATACAAAAATACTAGATTTCCAAAACAGAGGATTGTACAAAAATAAATGTCTTCTATGTATAGAACAAATGCTCTTCGCACACAAAAATAAATATCCACAATAGTCCACGCAAAAGCAATCTGTAAAAAAAAATAAAATAAATAACCATTAGCACTTATTCAATAAAAATGCCATTTCAAATTATAACAATCAATGTTAAAACAGCTACGTGCTTCAATGTAGTAATCATGCAGCATGTAAGAATTTAATCAAGCAGCCTAATTAATACTGTTGCTTTCATTATGTCAACAGGGGTTTTGATATATTTACACACAAACACATATAATAAAGCTTGACTTTCAAATGGGAGGTGCAGAGATGACTAGTATTCACCTTATTTCTTAAATATTGGGAAGAAACTTCAATTGAAATATTTAAAAATAAGTTGCTTCAGCTGTACTTTCCACTTGCTCAATTAAAACATCAAAAAAACAAAACAAAAAAGCAAACAAATGCTTCACATCAGCTTTATAACTGAAATTTGGGTGACAAGTGAAAGCACGAGAAAACACCAAGTTCAGAGAGAAAGAAAAGAAACCACCAAGGCAAGAAAGTAAAAGCAAGTGAATTACGAGGTGGAATTTTGCCAATTTTGAATGCATAAACTCTCCAATATGCTTAAAAACCAAATTTAAGATATAATTTGCCAACCAATATAAAATTGAAGGCACCAGTAAGAAGAATTCACCTCACATGCAAATTTCCAAAGATAGCCAATAAATTTCAACTCCTTTGAACATACGGCAAACCAACATTGTAAAGGTATCAATAAAAATAAAATAAAAAATAAAAAAAGAGCACCCCAAATTCCTTTTGATGTAGACTTAATATGAACTATATCCAAAGCTTCCTGAAGAGTGAAAAAAGACATGATGACGTTCATATATAAATCAACTTCTCTGTGTTACAAAGCAACAAATTGTAAAGAATAAATTGCATCCTTCCCTTTCTTTAAGCTAATTATACTCTTAAACCAATCTCCAGAACCCATTACTGATTAAATTGTAGAATTTAACTTAATAAACCCCCGCAGTAAGGTACAATTCTTTCTTCTAATTGAATTATTTGTCAAACTAGAGTTCAATTTCTTCTTTTTTTGTCATTCAAAGGAAGAACCAAGCTAAGTCGCTAGGGTCAGGTATGTGCCTCATGTTTCACCATTCTACTCGATCAAGGTACATAGCTCTAGTTAAACCACATGTCACCATTTATTTTCCATCTATCTCAAGCCAGTTTAGTTTTGGCCTGTCTTCCCTTGCCAATAATTACCATCAATATGAACAATGTCACTTTTCCATATGGATATAGTTATTGGTTATTGGTCAACAATTTCAAAAAACATTCATAAAAATTCATAAAAATTTCAAACAAGCCCAACAATTTCTAACAAGTGAAAAACATTCATAAACATTCATCTATAAGCAAACTTGTTCAGCTGTGATTTGACTTGGGATAATCCTATTGATGAACAGGTTTTCATCATGTATCAAAATTGTGGTCACTCGAAAAGGCCAAAGTACATCTCAAAACTGTCAGCCAACCGCGTATTTCAAACAATTTGCATCTTACCACCTCAGTGTTCCATACAGTTCCATTTGAGAACGAGAAAAAGTTATAAAAATAAAAGTGTTAGGAAATGTGCTCAACAAATATATACCAAGCTATCCAACAAGAAGGCATGACAGTGTTACTTAACCGTCTAAATAGAAGTTTATCTTCCATACATGTGCTTATATGCACATTGAACAAGAAGAAAAAATTAATTAACAAAGAGCATTCCAACCCAATTCATAACTGAGCTTAGAGAAACTCCAGGAGAGTAGGCAACCCCAATTTTTATTAAAATGCTATGCCTACCTTTAATAGTGTGTTCATCCTTTTGCTGAAAGTAATGGATAAACGTTGAAAGTTCTATCTGCTCAGGAACAAATTTTATTTCGGTTAATTACACTTTTTAACCTCTATAATTTGACTTAAATTTCACTTTGATTCTATAGTTTTAAATTGCACAGTTTGAAGAGTTCCTACAATATATGCTTCTTCTCTATAAGTGAAGAGTTCCTACAGAAATTATGGTCATACAAAAAATTGGTATTTAAGCAGATGGCACATAACCTAGTAATGTATTCTTTATACAGTACAAACAACATGAAGGGAAAGCAGATTAACAGGTTGTATTTCATTAAAGAATGGCATATAGTTACACTATATCTAAGCACATTACAATCTCTGTGCAGTTGTGATTTTGAGATCAAATTTTTACAATAATAAGTTTGATATCCTTTACCTATACATATGTTACGTCAATGATGAGATAGAAAATCAATTATCCATCATTATTTGCCCCGTTGATGCCTAATCCTTTATTACTTCATTGTCCTTCACTGGCGGCAAACCAGAGCAAATAAGGAAGAGTATTATCACAGAGAGAGAGAGAGAGAAAGAGATAGGATGAGCCCAGCATGCATATAAAACTCCCTTTTTTTATAAGCAGAAGATTACCTCAACAATGTGACGAACATCACAAGAAGCATGGATTTGCCCAGTATTAACATATGACTGAGCATTCTCTTCAATATTCTCCAACCTGCAATTACACAGTTCAATATATTTCAAGTTGTTCGAGGTAAGGATGTTCCTAATTCTCTTATTTTCGTTATGCTTGATCATCTTTCAGAAGAGAGAACTGAGCTATAAATTGGTATGCTCCATTCATTCAAATGCGTGGCATATGAAATTACTAAGAAATAAAGACTAAAAAGCATTTACAGAGGTTCACAGTTGCTCCACTTCAACATATGGTTCTGTGTTGTTAAAGAACTAGTGTACAAGGTCAAAGTTTTATGTTCTGAAATTCAACTTTCTGATGTTAAATTGAATGTGAGATCATATTAGGCACCTCTAATGAATTTATGGATTTGATCCATCAAATGAATACATGTTATTATGTCATGAGACTCAAAACTGTGATCCCTATAATGAAAATTGCACTGTTGAAAAATTAGGGCACAAGGTCAAAGTTTTTTGTTATGAAATTCAATTTTCTGAGGCAAATTTGAATGTAAAATCATAATAGGAACCTCTAATGAATTTATGGATTTGATCCATCAAATGAATACATGCTATGTCATAAGATTCATAACTGCCATTCCTATAATGAAAATTGCACTGTTCTTTTATTTCCCATTATCTGTGTAATAGTATTTGTGCCTTTGTCATTCAAATCATCACACCTTTTCCTTAAGGATATGTACCCTTTTTCAGGTTATTAGGGAGCATTAAAGCCTTTAGTTAACAAATTGCTTGAAATGAACAGATTGGAGTCAAATGATGCTAGATGGATAGGTTCAACTGTGGATCCACTTGAGTTGATTGTACAGGGTTCAGTTGGGAGGCTGAGTCACCACACACACATGCCTAACCAGAAATCAGCCCCATTAAATTTTACACATCTTTCGCGTTGGAAAAAGAAAGTTCAACAATTGAAAAATACTCAACTTGATTCAACGAAGCCTTAATTCCAAGTACTACAAGTCCCCTACAATCCTTCTTCTATGGTCAGATATATCCAGAGCAAGATTCTAATAATCATTTTAACGAAGTTTACATATTACTCCAATGTTCAACTGCTTTGAAAGGAAAATAGAAAATTGAGGAATAATCTTTTACTTACTGATGAAGGTGGGTTAGGTAATTAGAGATGTATACAAACATATGAATTACATTAACATAGCAGCTTTAGAAGTTGGATTGAAGAACAGCACAGCTACAAAAGTAGATTAGATTTTTGAGATGCCTAAGAGACATTTTATCAAACAGTTTGAAGGCAAGGAAAAAAAACAAACAAACAAACAACAAACAAATAAACAAATTGAAAAGCCATAACAACTTCCCAAACCAACAATTCATGGAGGGCAACGAACCATTAGATTTTAATGGGTTTTGATTTATATGTATGGACATATATATATACACACACAAAGAAGACTAGAAGAGGAAGAAATAGAGAGGGGTGTGAGGATGATTCTGGAAATTTTCCTGGAAAGTGGAAAGAAAGAGAGAGCTTTCAAAATGGAGACTTTGAGAGAGAGAGAGAGAGAGGGAGAGAAAGAGGTACCTCAGGCTCGGACAAGGGTTTGCATTGCATGAGCTGTGCAATCTGCTCATCGAGATTCCCATGGGTATTCGAGGCGACTAGATCTACACTCATCTTCTGGATTATATACAGGAAACGATTTCAATGAAGAAAAATAGTGATGGTTTTATCGATACCCAGAAAAATGGTGTAGAAGAAGACCTAATCACCAACCTAGATTTTGGGTCAATATGCGAACTGCACAGAGAGAAAGAGAGCTCGCATTCGGTGCTCCAATTGTCGGCGACCGTGATGAGGAGCGGCGGAGGCATGGCTGGCGGAGCGGCGGTGAGAGAGGGAGGGGAGAAGAGCAGCGGAGAGGTAGAGACAGAGGGAGAGGGAGAGGTACAGAGAAACGTTGAAGAGAGAGAGACAGAGGCATTGGTCTGTTGTCTGGGAACCAAATATATATATAAATATATATTACAGCATTACCGACTAAATATTTTTAGTCGCCAATTCATTTTATAAAATCCCTCCAAAATTTAAACTGTTTGGCTCCAAAAATTTTTGGTTTTTGGCGACCAAAAAGATAAATAATAATTTTTTATATTTTCATTCGGCGACGAAACAATTTTAGTAGCCAAAAATTCAATATATGGTGACTAAAAATTTTTTTTGTCGCTGAAACTAAGTTTTTGGCGACCAAAGTTTGGTCGCCAAAGATAAAAAAAGTAATTTTTTACTTTTCATTCGGTGACTAAATGCTTTTAGTAGCCAAAACTCAATATATGACGATTAAATTTTTTTTTTTGTCGCCAATTCTGAAATTTTTAGTGACTAATTGTTTTTTCATTGCCAATAATCAATATACGCTGACTAAAAAAAATTAGTAGCTAAATATTTTACTTTTGCCGACTAAAAAAATTATTAGTCACCAATTTCCCAACTTTTGGCCAATAAATTTTTTTTAGTCGCCAATTTTAGTCGCTAAATGTGCATTTTGTTGTAGTGTTTGTTTAATTTATTAATTCATTACAATTAATACCAATTAATATTCATGTTCTAATTTATATTAATGTTGTAATTTCATTACATTCTTTTTTTTATATTCATTTTAATTATTTATTTCTATATTTCTTTTCTTTATTATTATTATTTTTTTCTTTTTTCTTTTTTTTTCTTTTTTTTTTCTCCTTATTTTCTTTTCTCTCCTTTCTTTTTTTTCTTCTCTTAATTGTTTTTATTCTCTTCTTTCCTTATTTTTTTTTCTTCTCTTAATTTTTTTTCTTTTTCTTCATTTTATTTTCTTTTCTTCTCTTCTTACATATTAATTATTTCCTTTTTTTTTATTATCTATTATTTATTTTATTTTATTTATTTATTTCCTTTTTGTTTTTCTTCTCTGTTCTCCTTTGTCACCTACGACAGTCGAAACCCTAGAAATGGCTTGATTTCCGGCGATGTGCTAAAATCCAATAATCGCACCAGCAACGGAACGACCCCTTGAGCCACCGCAATCAACACGAAAGAGAGAGAGAGCTCTAGTTCTGGTTCTGGTTTTGGTTTGTGAGTGAGAGTGAGAGTGAGAGAGAGAGAGAAAGAGAGAGAGAGATGTTGATGAGCTCCTTGCTGTGTTGGGTTACAAGGTAAAGGCCTCAAATATGGATGACGTGCTGTGATGACCCTTCATCGTCACTTCTTTCATTGTCGAAAATCACTTCTCTCCACTGAAAATCACCTCTCTCTTTTCATGAGAGGAAGAGAATGAGTGTGTTTTGTTTATATACCTGGTACACTTGTAATAACTTGAAAGTGTGAAAGGCATTTAACTCTTTGGTATTCAGCTTGTTGCTTAAACTGAAAAAATAAGCACCTCCTCCCCCACTCAACCAAAAAGCTAATTTTCCACTTATAAAAGCTATAATCTACACCCATTAAGCTACACCAAACACTTAGAAATAATTTAATTTAAGTCAAAAGCTGAGTTAAGCTGTTTTTAAGCTGTGCCAAACATGGATATAATCATGCATAACCTCTTTCTCTCTAGATAAAATTTTTATATTTTGTCATTTCTCATACTTCTCTCTCCATTTTGCTTTTTTACTTGTGACAAATTTTAAATATATTAATTAAGTGTTATATTTGATCTCTATTATCACTACAAGAAAATACATTTTTGGCGACCATTTTTGGCTACCAAAAAAAATTTGGTCGCCAAAAGTTACGGAATTGGCTACCAAAATAACATTAGTCGGCAAAAGTCAACTTTTTAGCTGCTAATTTTTTTTAGTAGGGGAATGTTGATTATTGGCGACTAAAAAAAATTTAGTAGCTAAAAATATTACAATTGGTGACTAAAAAAATTTTTAGTAGCTAAACATATCACAATTGGCGACTAAAATAAATTTTAGTAGCCGTAGAGCTACTTTTAGCTACTAAATTGTTTAGTAGCCAAATGAATTTTAAAAATTTATTTTTTATCTTTGGCGACCAAATTTTGGTCGCCAATAGTTTATTTTCAGCGACGATTGGAAAGTTTAGTCGCCGTAGGTAGAGGTTTGGCTACCAAAATCTTTAGTCGCTGATTGTAAAATAAAAAATTATTTTTTACCTTTGGCGACTAAAATTTTAGTCGCCAATAGTTTATTTTCAGCGACGAAAAACAATTTTAGTCGTCGTATGTAGAGATTTGGCTACCAAAAGATTTAGTTGCCGATTGTAAAATAAAAAATTATTTTTTACCTTTGGCGACTAAATTTTAGTTGCCAATAGTTTATTTTCAGCGACAAAAAACAATTTTAGTCGCCGTAGGTAGAGATTTGGCTACCAAAAGCTTTAGTCGCCGATGGAAAACAAATTGGATGGCTAAGATCAGTTAAACAACCAACGGGTGAGATCAATACCTCTCCAATGAAATATTAGGGTCATCTCTTCGTTTCAGAAGATGAAGGGTTGAGGAGTCCAGCTGCGTTGCCGTCCCGCCGCCGCTCCTCCTTGCGTTCGCCGGCAACCAGAGCACCTCCACCTCCTCCTCCGCCATCGCCATTGTGACTACTGCGACCACCACTGCCTCCGCTACCACCTCCGTCGATGCCCTCTTTTCACGCCGCCGCCTCCTCCTCCTCCGCCGATCTTCACAGATCCACCGCCACCACCGCGAGATCCAGAGGCTTCAAGGCTGAGAATAACTCTGCTCCATTGATGCTCCGTCTCGCGTATGCTCTCTCTCTCTCTTTCTCTCTCTCTATATATAAGTATATATATATTCTCTCTCTCTCTCTCTCAATCTTTCTCTCTCTCTCTATATATATATATAAGTATATATATATATTTATATGTATATATGATGAGTTTGAGAAACCTCTTCGAATATACATATGTATTTCAAGCGTCTTAATGATCGTAAATACTAAGCAAGAGATACTAAATAAAATAAACTTTTATCTTAAATTTGCTTCAATATGCTAACAACCTTCATGAAGGTTAAAAAAGACAGTAATAACATGATTCTTATACTCCCAAAAACTGATGTATTCTAATTTAAATACAGTTCATACCATATTAACATGTTTTGTTCTTCATACTTTACAAATGAAAAATATATAACACTTTCTAGATCTAATAATATGTAACAGATATGATTAACTGATGATTAAAAAAAATATAAAAGAGAAAATTATTTTAAATATTCTAAAAGACTGCCACACTGTTGATTTTAAAAAGTAAATATATATATATATATATATATTTTTTCCATACATCGGTAAGAAAAAGTGGATCACTCTTGGGTCAGAGTCAGAGTAGACTAGCCTTTACAAATTCTTATATTGCATGCTAATTAATTTAATTTCTGTGACTTTTATCACAATATTTGTGCTTCAATTCTGTTTATTGTTTTGCTAGATTAACAGGTCCAAGAATTGTGACCCTCACGGAGCAAGAGCCTAGCCGCGGTGAACTGACTTCCATAGGTCGATTCACATGGGCATTGCGTTACTACTCTGCAATCTTCGAGTCACTAGATGCAGCATTTCCAGGCGACTCTCCGGCACAAGGAAACGTGGAGAAGTGTATTTTTGCACCAGCGATAAGGAAAGAGGTAGCATCAGAGGAACCAGGGAGAGCGGCATGAAGGCAAGAGGGGTACATATAGAATGGTTTAGTTCGGTTTTTTTTTTTTTGAAAAATGATGGCATGTTGATTTTTTTGGAAGGTGACATGTTTTTGAAAAATGTCAATGATTTTAGTTTATATTTCATAATGGATGCATTTTGCTTTATCATGTATTGAATAATATTTTGTGAGTAGATTGTAAATAATTTTCAAGTTATTAAAAATTGTGTTTTAAAATGGAACCGCTTCTCAATGGTTTAGTCACGTTTGTTAAAATTTTTAATTCTAATTAAGTTAAAATTATTGTTCATATTAAATGAGAAGGGTAAAATTGAGATATGATACAAAATTATGAAAGAATGGATCTTTTAAAGTGGTGTATCTTATTTCAATTTTACTCTTCTCATTTACAATTGTGATAGAAATCTTCACACATACATAACTCCCACAACCTCCACTCTCATCTCAACTCCTCATAATGTGAGATCTACACATACATAAGTGGACCCCACACACATATCAAAGGCCAAAATTAAATTGGGGGTAATGAAACCCCCAAAAGAGAGAGTCCCAAACATTTGTGTAAAAACTATGAACTCAATAATAATCTTAAAAGTAAAATAGAAATTATTTGTACTCTCTCTGTCCTAAAATAATGGTCCTTTTTGGAGAATCTAACTTTTTTTGGTAGTACAATTATTGCATTTGAAAAAAGTTGATTTTTCAAAATTACCCTTTTGATAGTACATTTTTTGGGAATATCAATGTCAATATTATACTTTTTATATTGTTTATTAATTTAAAAGAATGGCAAAATAGGAAATTTATATTATTTTTATACTTGATTTTTGAAGAGGTATTAATATTTTGAGATAATAAAAAATAGAATAAAAGATTAATATTTTGAGACGGAGGAAGTAGTAAAATTTATGCCTTCAAGATTTTACAGTCTTATTCAGAAGGAAAGCACATTTCATGTGATAGGGACAGGTACATTCTCCATTTTTTTTTTTAATATTTTAATGAAAACATAATACCGAATACAGATAAAGACAACCATGCATTCATCACCTGTAGGGGTGTTCGCGGATCGGTTTTGTGCGGTTTGCGGTTCGGTTTTGACCCGCCCGCATCTATGCGGTTTGGGAAAAAGTCAACCCGCAACCGCCCGCAGTGCGGTTTGCGGTTTGTGCGGATAGGGTTTGCAAATGTGCGGGCGGTTTGCGGTTTACATTTTTTTTCTTTAAAAATTAATTTTCGAGTTTTTTTTCCCAGCAAATTTAGGCATCAAATTCATTTTATATATTTGTGATAACAATTTTTTG